GACAGGTATTCTACCACTGAGCTACATCCTGAACCCGAAAATCCTTTTAAAAATAGTCTTACCCCATGTGCAACAATCACAAGAGGAACGTCTTCAGGTAGAATGAGGAGGGGTACTGAGCCTGCTCCTCTTAGGAGCCCAGAGCCAAGGCCCCTTAAGGGCTTGGAAGACCCAGGCCCACTGCCTAGGACTGTCACTCTCACCTGCAGGGATGTCCTGTGTAGTAGCTGCCTCAGTCCTCAAGCCTGTCCTGATCACCTCAGCAAGCCCTTGCCGCACTGGCTGAGCTGTGGGTCTGCCCTGCCACACTGAAAGGAAGGACTCCAATAGGGATGGCGCCAGCCCTGATGGTGGCTGTGTGGGAGACAGGAAGGGAGCTAGGGAACGGTCCCTATTGTCTTGCTTTCCAAGTCTAGGAAGGACAGTCCTGGGCTCTGCAGATGGGGTGGAGTAGAGAGTACAGAGACTGATGAGGCCAGGGAGGATCTGCTGAGCTCAGCCAGGAGCTGTCCTGGTGTTGCAAAGCTCTGAGGTTTGGAGTATGGCAGTTGGAGCACTCCCTGGCAGGCATTTTCTGTGCCCACCTCTCTTTGGATTAGCGTTCTGGGAGCACCTGGCATTCTGCCATTTGGCTGGTGAAGTTTCCATTTTCTGGTGTCTCCTTAGCAGAGAGAGGATCCCTCCCAGTGTTTTCCGCTGTCTGCAATGCGATGCTTTCCATGGCTTGAGTCATCAGACACAGCTTGTTTTGTTTTTCTGGAGTTTTAGGGTTGCTTTCTTCTTTTATTGATGGCTAGTGCTTTGAAGAAAGATAATTGATAGTGCATGCAGGGACTTCCTCTTAGCTAGAAGGTCAGGCCAGCAAGGACCTCTGGTTTTTCCTCCATGCCTTTCTGATGCCGTCAGATGCTCTGGGAGGAATACAGATTTCTAATTTTACAGATGTGAAAATTTCATAAAATGGAATAATGTAATATATGATTCTTTTGTGTCTGTCTTTCATTTAGCATAATGTTTTCAAGGTTTGTCAATATTGTAGCATGCTCAGGAGTACTAGTAATTGCAGAGGTGGAAAGGATCAACTGGAAGTCCACTATTTTTGGGAGTAGCCCAAAAGCTGGAGACTGTTAGATCCAGAAGCACCATAGAGATCATCTAGTCTAACTGCTTGATCTTGCTTCTGGGCTGTGTAACTGCCAGCTGTATGTTGATCGTGCGTGTTCCTATGAACACTTCCAGGGGGAGTCTCCTGAGTTGCAGCCCACTTGCTTGCTAAGCGGTCAAGATGAGAAACTGGGGTCTGGGGATTTAGCTCAGCGGCACAGTGCCTGCCTGGCAAGTGCAAGGTCGTGAGTTCGAATCCCGGTACCAGAAAAAAAAGAAGGTGAGAAACTGGACATGCAGGTTGAACAGGGCTCTCCCAGGGATCACCAGAGAGAGTCTGGGTGGGTGTAGATGCAAAAGACCTGAGAACCAGCATCAAGAGTTTTGCCTTAAGTTTTCCTCAATTGGCAGCCTGTGATGAATTTCAAGCAGGATCTAGGGCTTCTCCTCAGTTGCTCCTGCCCCTGCCCTGTCCCAGCCCCTCCTTGCTCCTCCCCTAGGCGTTTTTAACTGCCCTCCCTCTAGTATCATCCATTCCCAGAATACTCCACTACCCACCCAGGGACTTTCTCTAATACAAATCCAGTTGTCCCCCTCTTCTTTTAAAAACATTCCCACCAGGCATGATAGCTCACACCTCTAATCCCAGCACTCTTAAGATTGCAAGGGTCACAAATTGGAGCCTGGCCTGAGCAATGACTAGTGACTTAGTGAGACGCTTCTCCAAATTAAAACATTTTTAAAGGGGCTGGAAATACAACTCAGTGTCAAGGCCCTGTGTCCAATCCCCAGTATCACAAACAAAATAAAACACAAACATTTCCATGGCTCTCTGCTGCCCACAGGACAAGACCCTGCTTAAGTGGTGCTATGTGGCGTGGCCCCGCCTTTTCCTGCAGCCTCAGTGTGCTTTGCCTTCACCAGGCACTCTGGTCTCTTAGCATCTACACTGTTGAATTATCGGTTGTCTTTGGCCAGCTACTCCTCTCCTCCCACCTTTAAACTCCTATTCAGTCTTCAAGTTTCAGCACAAATTTCTGGCTAGGAGAAGCTTTTTCTCACCCTTTTGAGGCAATATGCTTTGAACATCTTTCTGTTTTGAAGCTCATATCACATTGCAGTTATCTCCTTCCAGAAACCTCCTGCTCCCGTCCTGAATGTTTCCTGTGTGCAGCCACTGAGCCGAGTCCTGTAATGCATAATTTCATGTTATTCTCACAGTAAGCACAGCAGGTGCATTTTCTTCCAGCCCCATTTAAAGATGAGAACGCTAAAACCCAGAGAGGTAGCATGACTTGCCCAAGGCGTGTGGCTGGAGAGTGTCAGAGCAGAGATTTGAGCAGATTATCTGTTGGATCCTATTTCTCCTGCTCTCTGGATCCCCATTAAGTAGACCCTCAGGAAACACTGGGCCTGTGAGGGCCCAGTCAAAGGGCTGGACCCAGTGGGATTTCTAGGGGTGGGTGAGGTGAGGAGATGGAAGGAGGCAGAGTGAGGAGGGGCCAGGCTTTCTTGGAGTAAAAGAAATGAGAGACTACTAGCCCCACTCTCCATGATTTAGGGTTTCCTTTCCACCTTCCATGCCAGTAGCAGCCTCTGGTCACCTGGGGACAGGCTTGTAGGACTCCAGGCTGAGCAGGTGGCATGGTGACAAATGCCATGGCAACCTGCCTCCTCTCTGGGGCCCAGAGGAGAGAGAGAACCTGAGAAGGCACAGGGTGCACATTGAGGCCTTCTGAGTAGGATCCTGGCCTAGTGGCTCCCTTCGGGCCTGGGTGGCTTCTGCCCTCCCACGAGGGACCTATCTGTGAGGTCCTGTTCCAGCAGGGGAAATGCTACTTCCACCTCTGTCCCAAAAGAACGGCTGGTTCTGGCTGATCCCAGGAGACTGTCAGCTGCATCCAGGTACAGAACCATCCTCTTCCCAGCCCAGCCAGAGAGGCAGGAAGGAAGGGGGAACCCAAGAGAGGATGCATGGGGTTGCCAAGCAAGGTAGTAGCAGAGCCAGGAGGGGAAAAAAGCTTTCATTGTCCAAGGTCACACACAGCTCTAAGCAAGCCTGGCAGCTTGCCTGCCTCCCAGGACCTAGCCCAAATCTCTACCCGCACTTCTCTGGCTCCTAGCAACATGGCCCAAGCTGGCTTTACAGAAAGAGACCTGTCCTGCGGTATGAATCCTGCCTTGGCCAGCAAATCGTCCTAGAGGCCTGGCCTCCTCCTTGCAGTCTCCCAAAAGCTAGGAGAAGGATGAGTGGTGATAGAATGGCCAGTGGAGCCAGACAGGGTGGGCTAGAAGCCAGAGCCCAGCAGAAGTGCAGCTGTGTGACCTTTGATCGCAGGCCTCGATGAGGTTGGAAAGCCTGTTGAAAGCAATGGGCTTAGGCACATAAAAGCACTCAGCAGGGTTACCTGACCACAGAGGAGTCAGTGAGTGACACATAACCCTTGAAGCTCTCACTCCCCGTGAGGAAGGATCATCATGCCTGCCCACCTACCCCAGCGACCCCTATTCAAGGTTCTGTGGCCAGGAGGATTCAGCCACTTGTCGCCATGGGCAAATGTGGAGGGACACTGCTGGCTCCCATCCCAACCTGCCCTGAGGTTCCTGTTGTGGGGACCAGCCCTGTGTCCACTGGCCCTGCCTGGGAACCTTGGGCATGATAGGTGGGAAGTAATGCCCCCCAAGGCTGGGTGAGAGCTCAGGTGACAGGCATGGTGCCGGCAAATCCTGTAGCCCAGCACCCAACACCTCTAAGCAGACAATGCTGGCAGTGTCCAGCTCTCCAGGGAACAGGCTGTGTTCTGTGTCACAGCCAGGAAACAGGCCATCTGAGCAGTGCTTTTGTCTGCTCAGGAGGCAGCCCCGCCACCGGCAAGAGAGACCAGGCTCCTGGGAGGTACTGGTGTGGGAAGGGGGTGGTCCTGGCCCAGGGAGTCCAGGGTTTGGGCTCCAACCCCTCAGTACTTGTTGCTAGTCAGACCAGTACACGTTGGGAGTTACCTGGGCAAGTCCTTTCCCTCTCAGTAGCTCTGATTCCTCATCTGTGAAAAGGGACTAATCACAATACTTCCTCATAGGGTTGTTGGGAGGAGTCAGTCGCAGAATGTACGTAACGTGTGTGGCATGGGATCTATCACGGTGTGCGGCTGGGTAGATGCTTCTCTCTTAGCATGGAGTCAGGGGTCCAGAACACAACATCCTCAGCCAACTCTCCTACAACCCAGCTTACTGTCCTCAGTCTCTGCTCTGAATGTGGAAGGAGGGGGCGTGCGTCTCTATAACTGCCTCATGACCAGCCCTCTGGCTGCAGAGAGCTCAAGCCTATGCATTGGACTCTAGGAGCTTTGTGCTGATGCCCTGTGTGCCCTCTACCCCACACAGCCTCAATTCAGTCCAGCATGGGGCCACTCCCCTGCAGTACCCCTGAGAGCCACCCTTGCAGCCCCAGCAGACCCAATGGGCCTAAGTCTCCCTACCCACTTTCCAAGAGTCTCTCCCAGCGCAGATTCTTGCTACTGGGCCACCCACTGGGATCCCCAGTAGCAGGCAGGGAGGACTTCTGCTCGTATCAACCCCAGCCCTCTACCACGTTAAGCCTCATCTGCATGTTCCCGGAATATGATGAAATCAGCGTGCACATTTGCACAGATGGGTATGGGAGGCATGGGGGATCAGGCATGAGCATGAAGGGCTGCTTGCACGTCCTGCATTGTGGGCAGGTGCCCGGGCATGTTCATGGGGATGGGTGCCACCCATTTTGGAATGTCAGGACGTGGTACTGTTTCGTGTTCATGTGTATCCATATGTCTTTCTACATGTGTGCTGGTATGTTGGTCTGTCTTGTCTCCCCTATAGACGGGAAGTCCTGAACCATAAGCCGGCCGGGAAGGTGATGGTTGACAAGAACAGCCCAGCCTAATTTGGGGTTCCTGGCTCTGCCCGGGAGCCCTCCAGCCTGCAGCCCCTGCCGAGGAGGGAGGACTGAACAGCAGGGAGGTGGGGGGCTGAGTGTCAGGGACCTGGGAGAAGCAGGCGGCTCACAGAGTAGAAGACTTGGAGCTGCACTGAGGGACAGGAGGCCCTTCTCCTGCTGTCCTTGTGATCTCGGGCAAGACCTGCACCCTCTCTGGGGCACATTCACTCATCTGGAGGACACCGGGTTGGACTGATGATTTCCCACTGCCCCTGAGGCTTTGACGATTGACTGTGACTTGAAGTCAGGTGGTGGGAGGCTGTACACCTGTGCCATTAAGTTCACTGGTAGAAGTGGCTGTGGCCTGAGCCTAGTGCGGGGGTATTCTGCCGAAGGGTGAGAGGAAAAGCTATGCCTGGCAGTGGCCCCAGCGAGAGGATGACGTGGCCTGGACCAGCGCTCCCTGCTGGCCCCCCAACCCACCCTCTTTCCTCAGCCCCGCGGACACCGCCCATCCCGCCCCTCACTCGGACCCGCAGCCTCATGGCCATGTCCCTGCCAGGAAGCAGACGGGCCTCTGCTGGATCCCGCAGGTGAGTCTTTGCTTGCCCTAAAGCTCTGCTGCAGTGGGTGGGAGAAGGCGTTCTGTCTCCCCTGTCACTGACTTACACTGGGCCTTCCAGCAAATCGTAGCCCACTTCCCACTGGCCTCCTCCAGAACTGTTAAGCACTCGGATGAATGTGGATGTGATCACTGGGTTCTAGCAATCCCAGGCTGTGGGCACCACTGCTGGGTGGACGGATGCGGCATCCACTCCAGTTCACTGAGCCTCCCCCAGTTTTCTCCCCAGGAGCCATTCCTCCTGCCCCCACTGCTGTGTACCCCATTCTTCTCCCTTTAGTCTGTGAGGGTCTCTCTTCTGGCTTTGAGGGACCCTGGAAATTGGGGACCTTTGGGAAGGGCACGGGGCCCCACCCTTGTCCTGCAGCCTTGCCCAGTCCCTGCCTCTTCCCTGGGAAGCCAGGAGGACCACCCGCCGCCTGGTTTTCCATCTTGATTTGCGCTGTCTGTTCTGTCACCCCTGTCTGTGCATCCCCTTCTCCTCTCTGCTTGTCTCCCTGCTGGTGACCCTGAAGTGGGGGTGCTTTGAGCCACAGCAGCCTGGCAGTGTTCGCTCAGTGCCCACAGCTGCCCCCCAGCCAGAATGAGCACCTGCCTCTTCTCCCCGCCTCCAGGCGCACCTCTCCACCCGTGAGTGTGCGGGATGCCTATGGCACCTCTTCCCTCAGCAGCAGCAGCAACTCAGGCTCCTGCAAGGGCAGTGACAGCAGCCCCACACCCAGGTAACCACCCTATTGCCAGCCTGCCAGCTGGCTGGGAATTGGAGCTCTGGGGGAGGTGGCCAGTGTGTTGTTCTGACTGTCCCGAGCTCTAGCACTGACTCACTGGCTGTGCGAACTTGAGCAGCTCACTTCTTCCCTGAGCGTCAGATCCAGTCTGTAAAATGGACATAATACCCGCTACACAGAAGCAAATACAGAGACTTAAACAAACCAAGGTGATGCTTTCAGAATGAAAATGAGAGGTAAGTTGCTCCCTGAAGCATCACAGGCCCTGTCTCCTCTCTTCCTGTGCCACTATCATTGGAAAACAGCTTTTGCGCTCATCATTACAAAATGGTTCCTGTACTACCAGCCATTAGCTCAGCCTTCCACGAAGGGAAAAGATATAGAAGACCAAAACTCTGCCATATCCTGACTGGAATTGGGTCATGTGACTAACTAGATGCAGGGTCCATTAGTACATAGAGAGTTAGTGACATCACACACAAAATCAGGGTTTTGTGGGGAAAATGCAAGATGGGAATGGGAGGCAACCCCAGTTTGCCAGCTTGTTCTTCTCAGGGGACACGTAGAAAGTGGCAGAGGTGACACTGATTCAGGAAGTGAGATGTATTAGAAACACGGCGTGTGCTAAGTTTGATCTCAGGCATCACGGACCAAAACTTGAAAAGCAGGATCAGGTTGGAGAGGAAGTGAAGGGGACCTGTGGGTACTGGAAGGCCTTCTGGTAGGAAGGAAGAACTGGAATGGCGGCTGTGTGGTGTTAAAGTACAAGTGAGCAGTAGGAAAGTGTAGAGGCTGCGTGGCTTCAGAGTCAGCCACTTCCTGTCTCTGAATCCCCATTTCCTTGTCTATAAACTGAAGCTAATAATCCAGAGGCTTCACTGAGTTGGTAGCTGCAGACTGCATATTCTAGATGGCCAGTAACCACCGTTACTGGGGCTTTAGTCTGCGCCCTTTGGTCGTAAGGGATGTGGGCAAAGAAGACCAGGAAACACCCAGGAAGGCTTGTCCTGTCCCTTCCTCGGGGAAGATGTCATTTGCACACAGTGATGTTAGAACTTTGGGAGCCATGATTGTCAGGGTTTCTACTGATGGGTGACATGCAGGATGGGTAACAGGCATCCTGGGCTTCACCCCTTGCACCCTGCAGGGCCCTGGGTATAGGAGTGATGTGTTAACTTGATGTAGCAAAGTGTATCACTGGAAACTTCAATATCATGAGTAACAGATTTTCATGAGGTCTCTCGTAACTTTAACCCCTAAAGCATTCCCACCCCCCAGGCTGAGCACTGCCTCTGAGGAAGGTCCTCTTGCCTACCAGGAGGGCAACTGTCCCTAGGACCTCCCTGCAAATAACCAGGCTTTCCAAGGTATGAGTAGCCAAGTCATAGATGATAGATAGATAGATAGATAGATAGATAGATAGATAGATGTGTGTCATATATATATGTAAATATATATATATGTGTATATATATATATATAAATTTTTTTGGAAAGATAGAGCCAGTGACTAAAAATGTGTAAGTGTTAAATGCTATTTTGGGGAAAACACCCATAAAAACAAGTGGGAAACTGAAAAGTTACTTCCCTCTAATCTTTGGTTCTACTAGTTTAAATGATCTTGGTTCTATCACTGCCATCACCCCTACCACAGCCCAGGTATGGGACAGACCCTTCTTACTCAGCACAGGTCTGTGCCTCTCTGACCAAAGCCCTTGCAGGGCGGGCAGATGCTATAGGATGAGTGTATGGGGCCTTTGCGCTGTCCACATGGCTTGCTTCTCTTCTGGAAAGATATTTTTAGATCAGAGGGGGTGACCCCGAGCTCCCAGCCTACACCACCGCCCTGCCCCTTCAAAGCAGGGCTATGTGTGACTTGGTTGAGTTAAACTTGAAGACCATAAGGTGAATCAGTGGAAGGCAATATCATTTCTCCTTCCCATCCTGCCACCATGTACTCTTCAACAGTTCACAATTTACAAGTGTTTTTTTCCTCAGTAAACAGAGAGCTTACATGAAACCCTGAAAGTTTCCTCCAGCTAGGCTGCATCAGCAAATGGGCCTCACCAGAGCCTGTCTCACTGAACCGTACCTGCCCCTCCCTGGAGCAGAAGGGGATGGCAGCAGGCCTGAGTCGAGTTGGCTGGGAATGTGCCCAGGACTTTAAGCTGGGACCCAAGACATTTCTTTAAAAACAGAAGAACCAGCAGTCAGGAAGCCGTGGGTGGAGCCATCTAGGCTGCAGTCTGCTGTAGAGTCAGGGTGTTCTCCTTCCCTGGAAAGCTTTGGCCCACCCTCGCCACCAGCCTGCTCACCCTCTGGGTAGAGAGTCCTCCCTGCTGCCCTGGAGGAGCCAGTGTGCTGCACACACGCCTCACAGAGCCCACTACCGGTGTGGAGCTGGACACACCCAGCCTGCTGCACCACAGAGCACCGCTATTGACTGCCCAGACCCAGACCCAGCAGTTGTCCATGCAGTAACACACACGCCCAGGGCCTGGATGAGTGGACTTGCGCAGGGGCTACTGTCCTGACACATGGGATCACCCATGAGGCAGCAGGAAGAGGGTGAGGCTTCACGGGCACTGTGTGAACACAGTGTGGGCGGTACACACAGACCAGGAATCCACACACGCAGATGTGCACTCCCAGTAAGTATGTGCACAACAGATGCACACCTACGTGCACATGAGGGTGGGCAAGGGGAGTGTGCCTCAGACATGGCGTGTACGTAAGGACAGCACACGAGTCTGCCTTCCCAGCTCTGTCCCCACGCTCATATCTGGAGAGGAAAGCCCTCCACTGTGTCTCCTCCTCTCCAGGGAACGTCCTTGTCCTGCGTACTGACCTGAAGCCTTCTTCCCCACCCCAAGCCTCCAGCACTGTACTCATTCTCAGGGTTCAAATCTGGAAGCCTGGGCTCTAGGTGCCCACTGAGATAGGCTGTGGTCTTAGGGTAAGAGCCAGTCTCTCTGAAGCCAGCAGCCTTCTTCAGGGTGGAGGCTTCTGCTCTCCCAACAGTGCTGCGAGGACAGTGCAGACGTTGGCAGTGAGTGTGCACTAGTGCCAGGCTCATGGGCCCTTGTGGTGGGTGTCTCCACCCCTCCTCAGAGGAGCCTTACAGCCCCAACCTGGTCTCCACTCAGAAGAGCTTCACTGAAGCCCAGCTTCCAGCAAGATAGTATCCTTGTGGCCACCTGACCCTCTGCAGGATGTCTGGCTTGGAACCATCTGATGGCCACAGACTAAGGATAGTAGGGTGAGGACCCTGCTCCCCAGAGGCAGCATCCATGCATTTCCCGCCTCTTCCTCCCCCATCTCCACGATGGGCATCTACTTGCAGGCGCTCTATGAAGTACACACTGTGCAGTGACAACCATGGCATCAAGCCGCCCACCCCAGAGCAGTACCTGACTCCCCTGCAGCAGAAGGAGGTATGCATCCGGCACCTGAAGGCACGGCTGAAGGACACGCAGGACCGGCTCCAGGACCGGTGAGCAGCAACTAGGGCAGCAGTGGGGTTACCCACCAGCTCCACACCCAGAGGAACCAGGGCCTTGGGATGGTTCTGGAAAGAAGGGGTGGCTGGGGTTTTCCACCATTCACCTGCTCTCTCCTTCCCAGCAATGGCTTGTCCTAACTCATTGCTCACACACCCCTCCAACTCCTCTGGACTGCTCCAGGTAGCTGCTCAGGCCAGGTGGGGAACAGTTTGCCTGCAAGGGGTTGTCCCTCGGTCTCCCACCTGTGCACATGAGGGTAGACAAGGAAAGCATGCATCAGAGAGGGGATAGGTACAGAGATAGCTTTACTTGCACACAAGCTATGCCTGCACTCCCACGGCTCCAGAGAGAAAATCTGCTCTCCCCACCCCATGTCTCTTCAGCTATGAGATGAGTTCTTATCCTCCACACCTACCTAGAGCCCACCCCTCTGTCCCTGCTAACTCTTGCTGTTATGGATTTGTCCCTTCTGGACAATTCATAATGTAGCATGCATAGCCATGTCCTTCTTGACCAGAGCCCTGCCTAGTAGACAGGTTAGTCTGGATGTGTTGTGGTTTGGAAGTACAGGAGTTCAGGGCAGCATTTTATTGGTCTCTTGGTCTTAGAACTAGGAATTCTATCTGTATTTCTTCTGATGTTCTCAGGGAACAGATGGCCATCACGCAGCTTTCTTTCTGGGTTAATCCTGCTGTTCAGAGCAGATCATCTGCCCTGCATGGTTTGGACAGGATGACTATGGGGGCGGGGGTGTTCACATCTCAGCCTATGACTCTTGCAGGAGCCTATGACCATGCTGTACCTCCATGTTCTTCACAGCCTCTGTACTTGTACTTTCCCTCAATAGTCTACCTTCTCCTCCTTGAAGAGTACATGTGTTGTGATGCCTCTTTGCATCTGTATGCAGTGTCCCCATCACCTGAGGTGCTCTTTCCCCCATCTTGCTTCCTTAGCAACCTCATCCTCCAAGACCCAGTTCCTATGCAATTCTCTGCAGCCCACCGAGGCATGGACAGGCTGGGAAGCCATTGCTCTGTGGCGCCTGGCTGGCATCAAGGAGAGAGGAGCAAGAACCAGCCAAGCTGAGCATGCCCAGCTGAGCTCCTTCCAAACTCACTTCTCCTCCCAGGGTGAGGTGTGAGTGAGGACTGGGGAGAGAGGCGGGAGGGTTACCCTGCAGGGAGCCCCCTGCTGAGGCAGGAAGAGTGATGAGCAGGCATCCCCCACACCTACTAACACATCTGCATTGCCATTGTCAGCAATTCTGGCTTACTGCCCCCATGGGGTTGCTGAGTCCTTTGTGTGATAGGCCCCTCCCACAGGATGCTGTGGTGACTGTTGTGGGGTTCTGAGACCCTTCAGCACCAGTTCCTTCAGTAAAATGTGGAATGAGATTCCTGGGCCCAGTTCCTGAGTGGAATTTACAATCTGACTTTGAAAAGTCGGTGGTGCTTGATCTGGGGCAGTCAGTGTACTGAGCCCATAATCCCTATGGTGATGGCCATGCCATTTGTAGGTCTCTTTTCTTTGAGCCTGGGGTTTGGGCTGGGCAGCTGTGGGATGGAGGAAAAGTCTCCAGGCAGGAGATTAAGCCTGGTGAAAGATTTTCCTCTTCTTTTGCTTCTTTCAGTCAATCCCTGTTCAGTCTTAAACTGGTTTTGACTCTAGACTGACTGGCATGTTTTTCAAGCTTGGCAGCCTCCCCTAAATCCACCTGTAATTCAGAGATCCAGTAGTCATATTTCCCTGATGCTTGCCTGTCATGTTAATATTATCCCTTAGTTATTGCAGACTGATCAGGCCTGCAAGCTCCCGAATGAATGGACTGTGAAGGCTAAATACAAGGAATGATTTCAGGGCTTCAGGAGGATCAAAACCCTCTCATAGAATTTGAGATTCTCTCCAGGTTAAGACCAAGACTTTTCTGAGTGGCTCGTATTTACTTAGTTATCAAAACAAGACGGAAAATATTGACAAAAGGTGGGGATTCAAGGACCTTGGAAGTCTGCTCAAGGGCTTCTCCAAGTAAGACATTATGTTAATTTAGGGGAACTATGTTGTCTCCAGGAAGGTCTCCACCCAGGAGTGAGATGCCTGCAGCTACAGTCTTTATCTAGTTAATGGAGGTTGGAGCCAGGTGTCTTTAGCCGTGACCTTGTCTCATGCTTTGCTTCACCCGCTGCTACAGGTCTCAGTCAGTCAGGACTAGTGACTCATAGAGATTCATTTACTATGAGTCTACTGCCCATCTCCAGACAAGCAGCCTAGGTCTTGGACGGACTCACAAGTAAACATGAAAAGCCAATTGGTCAATATTGAATCCTTGGGGCTGGGAATATAGCTCAGCAGCATAAGCACCTGCCTGGCAAGCGTGAGGTCATGAGTTCAATTCCTGATACCAAAAAAAAATAATATTGAATCCTGCTTAGAGCCACTTTGTGGTGGTCTCTATGACTTGCCCTTCTCTCAATAGTAGCAGCTTGGTGCTTACCTTGTCCATATTTCAGCCTCCCTCTTCACAGTGGACACAAAGAAGAAACATCTAGCAGGAAGGGAGGAGAGCCATCCTGTTCTCCTCACCCTCCTCCAACTCATCCATCACTCCTTATGCCTCCGCTTGAGGGATGATGTAAAATTATCAGCTCCCCACACCAACACTGAAGGTGGTTGTCCTCTTGTGCCATTGCCATCTTCCCCAGGGTATCTGGCCACATCTCCAGCCATTTAAAATGCTCATGCCCTGCTTTAAAATGGGGCCACAGTCCTTTCTTTTTTTTTTTTCTGGTACCGGGAACCAAACTCACGACCTTCCACTTGCCAGGCAGGCGCTTTTGCCGCTGAGCTAAATCCCCAGCCCCCACAGTCCTTTCAATGGAGCAGAGATTTGCTGTCTGGTTACTCTTGCTTTATATTAAGATTTTATTAGGTTTTTACAGCAGTAACACTTATAAGAATCGTTGTTTCATCTATTGTCCAGATGATGGATTAAAAGTCATCTGCAGTTCAGCCTCCAGGGGTAGGAATGAGTGGTGTCTTGACTGAGGTTTCTTCTCCCTCCCAGGAGGAGGCCTCTCCTGCCTTCCCTCCAGGCCCTGTCCCTAGGTACCCTCACTGCTTCCTGCGGGGTAGAAGGAAGGGGTATTAAGCATCGAGTCCCTTCTTTTGTTTCTAGCTCTGAGATGCTGCAGTGTATAGCCCCTACCCTTGGCGACATTGCCCTTCCTTGCGCCTCTGGTGATGGTGATAGGCCAGGCAGGCAGGCAGTGAGCAAGCGTTTCCTCTGCTTGCAGGGACACAGAGATTGATGACCTGAAGATGCAGCTGTCGCGCATGCAGGAGGACTGGATCGAGGAGGAATGCCACCGCGTGGAGGCACAGCTAGCCTTGAAGGAGGCCCGCAAGGAGATCAAACAGCTCAAGCAGGTCATTGACACTGTCAAAAACAACCTGATTGACAAAGACAAGGGGCTGCAGAAGTACTTTGTGGACATCAACATCCAGAACAAGAAACTGGAGACACTGCTGCACAGCATGGAGGTGGCCCAGAATGGCACTGCCAAGGAGGAGAGCACTGGGGAGTCAGCTGCTGGTTCCCCTGCCCGCTCCCTCACCCGCAGCTCCACCTACACGAAGCTGAGTGACCCAGCTGTCTGTGGTGACCGCCAGCCTGGAGATGCCCCCAGCACCTCCGCTGAAGATGGAGCTGACAGTGGCTTTGTGGCTGCCGATGACACACTGAGCCGGACGGACGCACTGGAGGCCAGCAGCCTGCTGTCATCGGGGGTGGACTGTGGCCCGGAGGAGTCCTCGCTGCACAGCTCCTTTGGCCTGAGTGCCCGCTTCCCTGCCAGTAACACCTATGAGAAGCTGCTATGTGCCACAGAGGCTGGAGTGCAGGCCAGCTGCATGCAGGAGCGGGCCATCCAGACAGACTTCGTGCAATACCAGCCTGACCTGGACATCATCCTGGAGAGAGTGACCCAGGCCCAGGTCTGTGGGACCATCCCTGAGGACAGGCACCTGGGGTCAGATTCCCAGCCCCCAGGGCCCAGAGACCCCAACTCAGCAGTGGTGTTGACGATGGGTGACGAGCTTGAGGTCCCGGAGCCTATCACCCGTGGGCCCACTGCACACCAGCCTGGAGCCAACCCCAACCCTGGCCCATCATCAGTGAGTGTGGTGTGCCCTTTGGAAGAGGAGGAGGAGGAGGCAGCCCCAGCCGCAGCCGCAGCTACAGCTGAAAAGGAGCCCAAGAGCTACTGGAGTCGCCACTACATTGTGGATCTGCTGGCTGTGGTGGTGCCGGCCGTCCCCACGGTGGCCTGGCTCTGCCGCTCCCAGCGTCGCCAGGGCCAGCCCATCTACAACATCAGCTCCCTGCTGCGGGGCTGCTGCACCGTGGCCTTGCACTCCATCCGCAGGATCAGCTGCCGCTCGCTAGGCCACTCAGGGCCCAGTTCTGCAGGCAGTGGCTCCCAGCTCTGAGGCGGCCGCCCCTCCCCGGGCAGCGCTGCAGCAGCCTGACCACTGATTGTAGGGATGCTGTCCTCCCCTCCCGTATCCCCACAGGCATCATCTTATTTATTTAGTTTGGGGTTTGGAACCATTTTCTCTCCCTGGATGTTAACAGTGTCGGGCTGGGAGAAGGGCCTGGGAAAAGCACCCCAAAACTTCCAGAGGGAGAAGGGTAAGGGAGACCCAGGCAGGAAAGTATACTGATTGGAAAAACTGCACAGAGACACTTCTGAGGCCCCCAACCTGGCCCCTCTGTCCACCGAGCCCTTAGATGGGGTGGGCCCTGCTCAGGAAGTCTCTCGCTGGTTTATCTGGGGACCTCCCCTCCCTGCACTCTCCTGGTCCAGTGTCCTGCCCACTCCCTACCTTCTCTCCCAAGTCACCCTGCCTTCCTCCAGGCTCTGAGCCAATATTGTCTCCTCAGACAGACGTAGCTGTGGCCAAAGTACAGAAAACTGACCCAAGCACTTCAGGCAGGGTCTGGAATGCCCGGGCCTGGGCTGGAGCTGTTGCCTCCCCTTTATTCCCAACTCAGGATTCAGAAGCAGCGTTGAGGCCATGGCTGGAGGAACGACATGCTAGGCATGAGGCGCTAAGGGTGGGCTCTGTGTCTGTCTGTCCTCCCAGCTCCTCTCCATGATCCATTTTCCTCTTGGCTTCTGAGTGTGTCAGATTGTTCTTCCTTGAGAGAGAGCCAAGCCCGGCCAGCTGGGTGCTGTGGAGGGGGGCACTCGTTCAAGTCCTGGCACCCACTGAGAAATCTGCCAGCACAGAGGAGGCACAGTTGGGAGCTCTGGGGGCCCAGCACCTTCTGCAGTGAGGCCACTTCATCTACTGTTCAGGGGCATGGCTGGACTCGGGAATCCTTGGCTGCTCTGAGAAGCCAGAGGCCATGGCTCCTGCCACTCCTCAAGGCGTCTCTGGCCCAACCCCTCCCTCCCACTGTGTTCACTTTGGGGCTTGGTTCTCCCCCATCCCAAGAACCCTGGAAGTGATTGCTTGCTTTCTGGGATGAGGGTCTCTAGATCTACCTGCCTGCCTCTGGGGGAGGCAGAGAATTCTGGCAGGATGACTCTCAGGATGGGGTACGGAAGCCATAACATTTGTTCAGGCCAAAGCAGGGTGCCCTACGACTTGTTTCCCAGGCAGGGATGTGGCAGGGCAGGAGGAGCCCTGTGACCACCTGCTCCCAGCCCAAGCTGGGTCAGCCTGGGAAAGTTCACTGTCCCTTGCCTTCCCTGGGACCACATCTGAATCCCCCAGCAAAGCTGCTGATATTTTATTACCATTATTAGTTTACAAAGTAAACTCCTTCCTCTTTCTCCATGGGGTTACACCCATCTAGATACCCACACACTTGTCAGAAGTTAGGTCCCACACTGGGGGAGTTGGTGGGACTCTACGTCTCACGTACCCCTCTGGCCTAGGGGCCACTATGGTTCTCTACGAAGGTCAATTGTCCTCATCCCGATGTTCCAATGGCCACTGCCTGACTAATGGGCTCTGCCCTTCCATTCTGTGCCCTCCGCCCAGGGGGCACCTGCATGCACTGGGGGTGGGCGGCCAGCCCAGCTGTCTGGCCCAGAGCCCCCCTACACATGCTTCGTGCCTCCAGAGCTCCCTGCCTCAGCCCGGGCCTCAGACCAGCCCTCCTAGGTGGACCACCCCTGCCCCCAGCTGGACTAAACCTGAGTGCCTGGGACCTGGCTGCAGATGCCCCCTGGGACACTGGGGTCATGCCATGGAGGGGGCAGGGGACCAAAGCAACCCAAAGCCAAGCCGAGACTGGCCATGGACCTAGCTTCCTGTGCCGTGTACTCATGGAGCTGCATAGCATCTCCTTAGAAACAAAGCTTTGCTGAGAAAATAAATGAATGAACTATATTTGACAACAAAAAAATTATATATTTTTCACCACTGGAATTTAGTCAAGCTTTGCAGCCCCTCTGCTCCTGTCCGTGTCTTGCTATCTGTGGCCTTCCTATCATGGCCTGTGTTTGGGTGGGTCTGGGTGGGGCCGGGGCTGTTGTCCATTCTGTCTGTGCTGCTGGAGAAGCCATTTGTAAGGGCTGAGCCGTGGGTGGGCCCAAGGTCCTGGAGGAAGTGAGGAGGCCTGGCTCCCACCCTCTACTCCTGCTCTGGGCCACGCTCTGCCTTTGTGGTCACAGGGACCTGAACTCACTTTTTTTGTGGATTCTGGTGGGGCCTTTAGTGAGCTTTCTTTCTTGCCAGTGGAGGAAGCAGCTCAACATCAGGCCTAGGGCAGCCCCTGGGCTGACAGCCCTGGCCCAGCTTCTGAGCAAACCTATCCTCCGCATCTATGCAAAGAGCCAGCACTGCCCGTGCAGCCCTCCCGAGGGCATGCTGTGGGCTGCTGGCTTGGCTCCAGCCCTGGCTAGCTGGAGCACAGAGCGGGCTGGGACGGCAAGGCTGGGCCCGGCCAGTGCCCCCTGGAGAGTGCTCCCCCTCTGCAGCTCTCCTTCTGCTTCCTTGTGGGGCTGCAACTCTTCCCTCTTGCCCTCAGCTTCTGCAGCAGAAATCTTCAGGGCCTCCCTTCTGTCTAGCCTCCAGCCAGAGCGGATTAGGTCTCGAGGAACAGTGTCCCCAGGAAATCACCTTCTGGAACTGCTAGTCCCTTTGGAGCCAGTGGTTAGAGTGGTTATTCTTTAGTTCTGGGGCCAGGGCCAGAGCAGCCCTGCTGTCCCTCTGGTCCAGCCCTGGGCAGGACTTGGGAGCTGGGCCTGGGCTTCTGCACAGAGAGCTGGCCTTGAGCAGAGTTTATGACCAGCGTCTCCTGAGGGGATAACTTAGCTTTTCATTGAATGCCCTTCCCACTTGCCACTAGCACAGGAATATCTGACAGCACTTTGGGGAGGGGGGCAGATCACAAGGCTCCAGGCAGAGGCAAAGACCTCTGCCTCTGGGGGCCTCTGCCCAGTGAACTCACAACTCCCTTTCTGGCCTAGGGACACTGCAAATGGGTCACAGTGCACTCTCATATTCGTCCATCTCCTTGACCAAGGATTCAGGGGATGTGGGAAGGAGAGAAGTAGGGAGGGGTCTGGACTCTCGTCTCCTTGTCCTGTTCAGACAGAGTTGTACCTGCAACGCACAGCTCTGAATTAAAGCATGAACACACCATGAGACCCTGGGCCTGCTTTCTTTGTTCTGTGTTACTTTTCTAAGGGGGCTGGTGGAGCTCACACCATCTCCCCCAGCCCCACACAGAGGACAGCAGAGCATGTGCTGGTCCCACCCCAGCAGGCCCTGATGACTGGCTGGGGCACCACTGTCCATGCAGGTCAGGCACAGGGTGGATGGCCACCTCTCTGTGCTGCCAGGTGTCAGACCCTGCTGGACACTGGAAGATGCTGCCTTTCTTCCCAACACCCATGAAGTGGCTTGCCTCCATTTAACAGATGCAGAACCACACATGGTTCCTTAGTGGGGGACTCCAAAGCCAGTGCCAGCTCATGGTCCCCGGTTCCACTCATCCCTATCCAGACTGGCAGGCAGCCTGGGGGTGGAGGCTGAGCCAAGTTACTGCTCTGAGGCAACACATAGAAAGGGCCCTAGTCTTCCTACTGTTTGAAAGGAAAGCAGCTCTGGCATGTCATGGACCGAGGATTCTGGAATTTCCAATTAACCTTCAGGAAGGGATTGTGTTTAAAATCAAATCTTTATTCAGAAGACAATAAAGATCCTAAGTATATAATCTGTGTACAGTCTGTGATGAGGAGCCAGTAAAAGCAAAGAAAACATTCTTGCAAAGAATGGAGTTGTATTCTCTCAAAATGTACAGTGGTTTTCCTGGTGGAGGCCAAATTTTAAAAGGACCCAACTGAACTCTAAGCAGCATTTGGCTGGCCTATCTACATGCTTGGCATTTCAATCAGTGGCCTCTGGGCCCTGTCTGAGCCTCAGCCAGCTCAGGGTCTGAGGCTGCAAGGGGGCCTGTGGCCACAGAGGACAGACTTCTGCCAGCCCATGTCCACCCACCTGGAACACCGCATGGAACAGCCATAAGACACCCAACCCAGGCCATAGGCCAGCTTCAACCTGTCATCTGAGACCACTGCTTTTCCTTTTGAGGAGGTGGGAAGCCTGTGCTGCACTCCTGTGGCTTCAGGCGTCTGGAATGGAGTGGTCCATGGTGTGGTGGAGCAGCATCGGGGACAACCTGGATATGGCAAAGTGATGGTGGCTGAAACTGCCAGCTTCCTTTCCCCGGACCCCCAAGCCTGCGCCCTGTGTGACCCTTCACCCCCAGCTCTAAGACTTCCAAATCCGCAGAAGCCAGCATCCACCTCGGTGGAGCGGGAGAAGGGGAGGATTGGTCAGCACCAAGGAGCCCAGGTGAGCACCAGGAGGCAGGGGAGACAGAAGGCAGAGGAGGGGGTGGCGGCCTTACTTTTTCACCATGTGCTCATAGATCACAGCAGGAATGATGGTCAGGGTGATGACATCTCCAGATGTTGCCAAAATTTCCATGATTGCTTTGTCCTGGGGAGGAGGTGAGCTCATGGTCATTCGGGGCCAGGAGTCATACTGTAGGACCTTCTGTGTAGAGGTTACTATGGCTGCTGCTAGAGAACACCACTGATGTCCACCCACAGGGCCAGGCTTCCTAGGATTCTGAGCTGGTTAGGTGAGGATCAGGTGGGGTCTTGCCTGAGTACGATCATGGGCCTCCTGCCTTAGCATCTCAAGGTCAAAGGGGAATACTGCTGGGCCAGCCCCTGAAGGCAGTTATGTGAGCCTGTGACATAACATGGCCTCACAGTGAGTTCCCCAGGCCCCTCTTAAGGACCCACACCTCACATCCTCTCTCCTTGGCCCCAGTCACATTTGGGTTCCAGCTCCAAACCTCACAGAAAACCAGTCTCCAGTGGAAAACATTAGGCACACCTGTGTCCTCCAGGCCCTGCTGGCCATCCAGCCTAAGCCAGGCCTACCTGGTCTTCTTCCTCCTACATCTCACTGAACGGTGAGACAAGGCCTGTGGAAGCTACTTAGACCATCAGGAAGCTTAGGGTTTCTGAGTAAAGGGTGTCAGACACCCCACCTTGTAGCTCTGGCCACCAAAACAGCTGGCCCATACTCAGGGCCTAGTGACCTTTACACACATGTGTGATCTGGCTATGTGCCGTCTAGTGTTCCAGGGTAAATAAAATACAGGACAGAACCAATGGTGACCACAATGTAGAACTAAATAAACTCTGAATGATAAATGATCTCAAGAAAAATAGCTATCAGGTTGGGCAAGATGGTACACACTGGTAACCCTGGCACTCTGGAGGCTGAGGCACGAGGGTCACTGCAATTTGAAGGCCAGTCTGGGCTACATAATGAATTCAAGGCCAGCCTGAACTACATAATGAGACTTTGTCCCAGAAAGCCAGGAGAGAAGCCGGGCATGGTGGTGCAGGCTTGTAATCCCAACACTCAGGAGGCTGAGGCAGGAGGATTATTGCAAGCTGGAGACCATCATGGGTTTGAAAGTGAGCTCAAGGCCAGCCTGAACTTCATAGCAAGACCCTGTCTCAAACAAACCTTAGAGAGAAAAAAAAAAAAGCCAGGAGAAAATTTTTTAAAAAGAAGAGGAGGAGGAGGAGGAGTGGGGGGGGACTATTTGGAGCCACTTGGTAGAGTGACTGTCCCTAAGAGCCTCACAGGGTCATGGCTTGATAGAGTAGCTGGTAAGTTCACAATGGCGCCTGGAGCCATCTGTGCAGGTGAATCACATCTTAGCATGACTGCTCTCCAGAAATGTTTAGGTTGAAGAACAGTAATACTTTTAAAGAGATGAATTCACTAATATCTAAACACCTGATTTAATTCAGAATTGGTATGGTTATTCTTAGTTTTGACTGTTTGTTTTTGAGAAAGGGTCTTTTGAGGCAGATTGGCCTTGAACTTACTATGTAGCCCATGTTGGCTTTGAATGAACAGCAATCCTCCTGTCTCAGCCTCCCCAGTGCAGGGATCATAGAAGTGCGCCACCACACCCAGCACTCAGCTTTTTAAGTACATTAGATTTCCTTTCAGCTATTATGATTAGTCCCAGATAAAGGGGAGAGGGCATAGTAGGAAGGATCTTAGGGGAGAACTTGGCCACAGTAGTCATGAGCCACTAGAACAAGCCTCTGAGAAGGCAGAAGACACTGAAGTGGAGAGCCTGAAGCCTGGCAAGCAAAAGAAGAGACCAGTGCCAGGAATGGCTGTGCCAGCCATGGAATAGGATACTGCCACCCATGTCACTTCTGAGGAGAGGGAAGCCCTGCCCATAAGTGCCAGAGCTATGGCAGGAGAGAGCTCACTCCACTGTACATCTGGGGCTGAGAGCCACTCTTCGTCAAAGTGACATCAACTCAGGATAAAGCTGCTTTCCTTACTGAGACCAAAACCAAGACTCATTATCCGTGGGTTCTTTTCCCTGACAGTCCCATTCCACATCCGTATCCTGAGGGTGCCTCACCCCAGACCACTTGCTCCTTCTTGATTTTTTCTTTTCCAGTAATGAGGGTTGAACCCAAGACCTCTGCACTGAGCTACACCCACACCCACACACCCATACCCACACCCCCCCACACACACACACCTTCCTTTATTTTGAGATAGGATCTCCCAAAGTTGCTGAGTTGCCCAGGCTAAGCTCAAACTTGTGATCCTCCTGCCTCAACTTCCCAGAGTTCTGGGATAACAGGCATGCACCACCGTGCCCAAAAGCACCTTCTTGATTTTTAAAGGTAAAAGACGCCACATCCTCCTCCCTCAAAAAATGAACAAAGAGGGGCTGGGGATTTAGCTCAGCAGCAGAGCACCTGCCTGGCAAGCACAAGGTTGTGAGTTCGATTCCTGGTACCAGAAGAAAAACAAAAACAAAAAAAAAATGAACAAAGGCTGGAAATGGGTTTCTGAACAATTTTCTTTAGAAAAAAATACCACTAAATGTGATCAACATACAAATTGAAGTACCATGCAGAGTGGGCAGGTGTCCACAGAGCCTGTAGCCAGCTGGGTGCCTGTGTCCTCACCCCTCTTTTTGTCACCCCCTGGAAGGTCAGTAACAGTGGCTGATGCTTCTGAGCACTTACTATGTACCTGGCACAGTGATCAGAGCTCACAGCCTTGGTCTTACTGAATCTCACCACCTTCAGGGGAGGAAGCTGTGGCTGGCAGGGCTGCATCCTATCCAGACAGGAGCCACCCCAGGGATCTTCCACACCCACAGTCCCTGTGGAGTGTGGTCACTGCCTACCTTTAGTCCGATGACGTTCTGCCCATTCACTTCACACACGTAGTGACTGGTGAGGAGCCCGTTCCGGGCTGCAGAGCTCCCTTTGACCACAGACACAACCTTCCCCTTCTTGATGAAGAAGCCGACGTGGCCCAAGCTATCCTTATGCATCGTGACTGTCCGCTGAAATGGCCTGGCAGAAAGGACGGTGAGCTGGGCCTGGGGAGGTAGCAAGGTTTCCACAGAGGGGACTCTGGGGCCTTGAGACTCACCGGTCCCGAATGACCATGACGATCTTCTCCACTGACGCCTTCTTCAGCACCCGGCGAGCTTTGTCTGTGCTCCACCCGGCACAGTCACGCCCATCAATCTGCAGGATCTGGTCCCCAAAGCGCAGCCCCACCAGGGATGCGGGGGTGTTGGCCTGGACCAGCTGCACAAAGAGACCCTGGGGGAGGCAGGGCCCAGAGTCAGCTCCCCCGCCTGCCCTGCACCCAGCCCAGCAGCCTGTGGGGCACCAGGACTGCAGCTCTGCGTGGCAGGTATGACAGTCACCCTATTCTCCTGGGGAGGACACACTCCAGACCACATGGAGTGAGTCTGCATTTCAGCCCCAGCCTCTCTACCGCACTGTCTCTCCCAAGGTATCTGGCTGTCTTGGCTTCCTCTGTCTACAGCTCCAGGAAGCCAGATCCTTGGAAGCTGGGGCCAGGAAGAGGAAGGCTCAGAGTGAGAGGAGCCCATGAGGGTCCGTGGGTTTCTTCTGCAACTCGCTCCTGGGGCCTTGGGTGAGGATGCCAGATCGACATCTTTCTTACCCTGGACCAGCTTTTTGAGTCCGAGGAGAGGTGGATGTCTGAGCACTGCCCCTCTCAGGCTGTGGTTAACTGCCCCCCGCTTGGAGAGGGCCCCGAGGTTTCCGCAGGCGCTGTCCAGCACCAGCCCCGCCCACCTTGTCGACCGCCCGCAGCCGCAGCCCGGTCTTGCCACGCTCATCCTTGCACAGGTGGATCTCGCGTACTCCGGGCTTGATCTCCGCACGACGCACGCCCAGGCTGTTCCCGGACACTGGTGCCACCAGTTGGCTGGGCCAGGAGCCGGAGACCACCGTCTGCAGGCACGAGGGGAGGGGCCGGGGGGGGGAGGGGATGGAGGTCAGAGCGGGCGGGGCGGGGGCAAAGGAGCAGCGCACAGTCCCAGGCCCCGCCCGCCCCGGCCCCAGAGGTACCGGAGCCGAGCGGGAGCGGGGCTCCGGCGCCGCTAGGGGGTGCCAGAGTCCACGCCCTTGAAAATGGGCGCGAAAGGGAAGCAGTGAGATACAGGAAGGGGGTCCCTTATTTTCCATGGGAAGCTAACATCAGGACAAGATACCTTTAAAATTCTTTAGGAGTGAGGGGTAAGGGGGAAGACGTAAAAATAATTACAATGTGTTATGTACACGTAGCAACTCGCCAGTAATTATGTACTGCAAACATGTACAGTACTAATAAAATTTTTTTAAATAAAATTCACTTAAAATAGAAAAATATTTATTGTAAATGATGAGCAAAGAGGTATAAAAGGGCTCAATTTGATTTTTGTCTTACAAAATATTTAAACCAAAAAGAAATTGATGACTGCTTCCTTCTAAGATGCGGAAACAAAGCAAGGAAGTTAATTCTCACCACTCTACTAAACATAGCACTGGAAGATCTAGCAGTAAGTTAAGAAAAAGAGAAAAACACAAAGGCACACACATCTATAAAAGAAGAAATACAACTGTCCTAATCACAGACGATGTGATGGTGTACTAGAAAATCCCAGGGTGCACAGCAAAAGTAACCACCAACAGAGTTCAAAGACAGCCTGCAGAATGGGAAAAGGTTTTTGCCAGCTACTCCTCAAAGGACTAACATCTAGAATATATAAAGAACTTTAAAAAACCAGGCCCCCTAAATTTAAAGACCCAAACTAAAAATGGGCATCTGAAATGAATAGATACTTCTCAGGTGAAGAAGTAGAAATGGCAAATAAATAAATGAAAAACATATTCAACATTACTGGTCATTCGAGAAATGCAAATTAAAACAACACTGAGATTCCATCCCACCCCGGAAAGAACGGCTATCATCAAGAAATCAACCAGTAACAAATGCTGGCAAGGCTGTGGGAGAAAAGCAACCCTTCTCCATTGTAAATTGGCACAACCACTATGAAAATCAGTACGGACAGTCTTTAAAAATTGAAACAAGCCAGGCATGGTGGCAAACATCCGTAATCCCAGCACTCAGGAGGCTGAGGGAGGAGGATCCCCATGAGTTCAAGGCTAGCCTAAACTACCTAATGAGACCTTGCCTCAAAAGAAAGAGAGAAAGAAAGAAAGAAAAAAAGACAGAAAAAAGAAAGAGAAGAAAAAGGAAAAAAAATTCTAAAACTAGAGCTTCCATTTGACCTAGCTGTGCCTCTTCCTGAAAGAGTTAAAAGCTCATACCACAGTGATATATGCACACCCATGTTTATGGGAGCACAATTTGTAATAGCTAAATCTTGAAAACAGCTCACATGCCCATCAACAGATGAATAGATAAAGAAAATGTGGTATTTATATACATTTGTATATATACAATTGTATTTATATACAATTTATATACTCTGCCATAAAGAAGGATAAACTTGAGTCATTTTTAGGTAAATGGATGCACCTTGAGACCATAATTTTGAGTGAAAGAAATCAGACTCACAAGCTTAAATATCACATTGTTTCTTTTATGTGAGAAACCCAATGGGTAAATATGGAGCAAAACAGAGGATAGATATTGGAAAGTAGGAAGAGTGTTTTCAGATAAGAAGGGAAACAAGGGAAGGGGGAGGGAGAAGAGAAGGAGGAGAAAAGGGATTTTTAAAACAAAATGGAAGGGAAAAATGGAAACAAAACTTTTATAAATGGGAAGGCATAAAAGGGCTCAAGGAGGGGTGGGGAATGGGAAATAAGAATTAAGACATATTATATACAGGTACAAATTCCCTGTGATGAATGTGATCATTATGTATGGCAAATATGTACTAATAAAAACAAATAAAAGATGAAAATCCTAAGGAATCTACAGATAAATTCCTGTATCTAAAAAGTGAGTTCAGCAATGTCACAAGATACAAGGTTGATGTAAAAAATAAACTGTGCTGAGCACAATGGCATACACCTGTAGTCCCAACTACTAGAGAGGCTGAGACAGGAGAATTGCTTGAACCCAAGAGTTTAAGGCCAACCTAGGTAATATAGCAAGACCTTGCCTCACAATTAAAAATTTAAAAAATCAATTGTACTTTTGGGAGGCAGGAGGATCATAACAAGGAATAGGCAGAAACTAAAATTAAAAATACAATACCAGTTGTAATCATTCAAGAAAAGGAGATACTGAGGTATAAATCTAACAAAAAAAAGCCAGGAATGGTGGTGTACACCTGTAATCCCAGTACTTGGAAGGGTGAGGCAGCACTGTGAGTTCGAGGCCAGCCTGGGCTACATAGTGAGACCCTATCTCAATACAACAGCAACAACAAAAAAAATCTAACAACACATATATAAAAATTATATACCAAAAATGAAAACACTGAGAAATATTATCAGAAAAGACCTAAATAAACAGAAGGTCATGTGTATCCATAGATTGAAAGAACTAATAAAACTGTCAAGTTTTCTCAAATTGATATAAAAATATCACAAAATTTCTATCAAAATGTGAACAAGACATTTTGTAGATATAAACAAAGTGAATAAAACTTTAAATGGAAAAATGATGGCATTAAAATAGCTTAAAGATTTCAAATGAAAATAAAGACAATGGAGAAAATTTAAAATTACAAAAATGCATATATAGTCTCATATTTCTATTAAAATCTAGGTTGAATGCATTTATGTCCTAAATATCGGGACAAAGAATCATTAAGTCAAGCGATATCCCACGCTACTTCCTTGCTTTTGGTTGTATCTCACAGCACAATCATCAAGAATGTTATTGTAGCTGGGCTTGGTGGCACATTCCTGTAATACCAGCACGCAGGAGGCTGAGGCAGGAGGATCACCACAAGTTTGAAGGCAGCCTAGGCTAGTGAATTCAAGGCCAGCCTATCTCAAAGAAAAAAAAGTGTTATTGTGGAGAAACACCCTGAAGTGTCACCAATTATTTTCTCAAGGTCTTATATGTCATCCTTGTTAACTTTCTCTTGTGAGATTCTCATTTGTCAGTGGCTTCATATGGCAGTTCTCCACTGTCACTTCCATTAACTTCACGAAAGCCTGCAGCCTCAGCAAGACTAGCAATTGCACTTTCTGACAGATTTCATGGGCTCTAGAAGAGGCTAATGGACACGGACCTTGACAGATGCTGGTGCTGATTGGAAAGTGTCTTGAGTGGGGACCGAGTCTACAAGTGAATACGTTTTCAGCTGTGACTACTTCTTTGTAATGGTTTCTTTTGCTCTCTGAAGCCATGCAAAGCGGGAACCAAACACTTGTGTTTAACTTGGGGACCACAGCTGGGTAACATGCTCCTGCCAAGGCCCTCTGTCAAATGTCCCTAGGCTCATACTAGGCTTCATGCTCTCTCTTCTGATCCATCTGGCTCAGACCACAGCTTGAAGTCACAAGTCAAAAGTCAGAGAAGATATGAAATCATGGAATCCCAGAGTTTTTAATGAAGACTCAGAAATGAAAAATACCATCAAGAAACAGAGCCCTGAGTAAGAAAGTGGGGGAAAGAAGGGATACAAAACAGAGAAAAAAGGGGACTCTGTTGAAATGGCAAGACCCACAGGAGGGAGGGTTGGGACAATCTGTGCTCATATTAGGCAGGAGATAAATACCTACACTGTCACCCTCTGGAATCTGAGGCAGGCTCTGCTGGATTTCTTGGCTGGAGAGGGAAAGACCCATGTAGCTCTCCAGTTCTTCCAGGTTTGGATACAGAACTGATGGAAAAAAGAAGGAAAAGTGTTACACAGGACATGTGCTTAGCTACCCCTGCCTAGCCCTTGCATGCCTGTCCATTTCTAGTAAGAGACAGAACCTGGACCTGCCATTTATTGCCACAAATGCTGTGTGCCCCAGGGTGCCCTGAATCCCCAGGAACTCTCACTCAGAGTTCTGAGCTGCCAGGGATCTGCCTTTGCCCAGGAGCAGACTGGGACCCCAGGTCCCTCAGGTACTTTAGTACTCAACTCAGCTGACTTCAACATTCATCACAAGGGACAGCACCAGTCCAGGTCATGAAGGGTCCACTGACAACTGGGAGGGGGCAGGCTTTGGAGCCAGGGCAGCCCTCAGGGAGACAGCCCGAACAGGGATAGAGCTGGCCTTTGTTCGAGCTTTCTATACCACAACTTGACCCAAAGCAAATCCTGGTCTCTTCCTACGGCCTCCCATGGCAGCTCCAAATCAGGAAGTTACTATGTTCCCTCTAAGCCACTTTTCCCATTGTCCTCTCAGAGGGTCTGGAAGGACACAGACTACACGAAACCCTCACACAGTGTCAGGGAGAGAGAGGCAAGCACTGGAAATGACCAGAGACGGGCAGTCATGTCCTCTAGGTCACCGGTACACACAGGCTCAGGCAAGTGAGGCCCATCCAAAGCCTGGGAGCAGAATCCTCAAAGTCCCAGCATGTTGTCTGGGGGTGCGAATGCTCATCTCAGGCTCACCCACCTGAAGATGGGGAGACAGCTGCTTCCTTGCTGGGCAGGGCAGGCATCCTGGGTGAGGCTCTGGCCTGGGCCTGGAAAGGGACAGGGAGTGCCAGTCAGCTGTGACCAGGACCCCAGGCAGCCATGGGGCCTGGGGCTCCCTAAGGCAGGGGAGGCTGAGCATTAGATATGTTGGTGGCTCTGGGGTGGGTTTTTCCATGGACTCCCAAGGCTCCGGGTCATATGTAAATGTGACCTCTACATGACATTAAGTGAAATAAGTCAGGCACATCAAGGTGATACTGTCTATTCCCACTTACACATGGAAACTAAAAAGTTGATCTCAACAAAGTATAGAACAGAACAGTGGTTACAAGAGCCTGGGAAGACTGTAGGGGACTGGAAGGATGTAGAGAGGGTAGTTAATGGGTGCAGGGAACAGTCAAATAGGAGGAATACCCCCTACGGTTTGACAGGTTAATTATGGCTGACAACAATTAATTGGCATTTCCAAATAGAAGAGATGATTTTGAATGTTCCTACTACAAAGAAATGATGAATGCCTGAAGTGGTAGCTATTCCACTTACCCGGATCTGGTCACTACACATCATGCATATGTATTGAAATGTTACACTGCACTCCCAAAAATATGTATTTTCCATGCATTAATTAATAAATGCAGCCTCTGGAAATGTGCATATTTCTGGGAGGAGGAGGTTTTTTTGGGGCCTGTGACCCAGCAAATGTCATGACCCATTTGCTTCCTATGGCAGTCAGGACAGCAAAGCCCACCTCCTAACCACATTCTCAGAGGAAAGGCCCAGATTCTCCAAGCCTCTGGGACCACAGGACTGTGGGTTTGGGGGAGGAGGAGGCTTCTGGGGGCTGAGCAGGCAAAGCTCGTGCCCAGTGGCTATCCTGTGAAAGTAGCCTTGCTCACAGGTCTCCCATAAGGGACAGAGTAAAAGAGCTGAACATGAGAGGCAGGTCTGGGGCTGCCTGGTCTGTTCTACTCCTGCTGTGACTCCACTGGCCTTGACCTCTGGATGCCTTCTCTACCCAGAAGGCCCTTTCGGTGGGGACCTGCATGCTCTGGGGCCTTGCAGGAATGTACGGGGTCTTGGTGCTTCATACTCTGTACCCTCCAAGAGTAGCCTCACTTTGTCACCTTGGTGTAAGCCCCCAGCCCTCCATCAGGGACCCCAGATTCGGAGAGCCTGCAGACTTACCTGGATGACTTGGTCTACCTTTAGGTCTTCCAGAGATGGGTACAGAGCAGACATGGCTGGTCCTTGGAGCCCCTGCAGAGCACAGAGGATGAGAAGACATGAGGAGGCAGCATCTCCCACCCGCCTAAGAAGAGACACAGACATCTATCTTTTGCCCATGTGTGCCACACAGCACCTCAGACATGAAGAAAGCAGAGGAAGAGTCATTGTCCTCATTTCAGGGACAGAGGAACTAGGATTTGAGCCAGGCTAGCTGGTTCTCAAGCTGATGGCCTTCACCTGCGAATTCCATCCTTGCCTATTTGGCTGTGGGCTTTAGAACACAGGCCCAGGGGATCACAGGACATGCTGACCAGGAAAACCAGGATTACGGGCCACATTCTTCCCTGCCATGTATCAAAGTTCAGACAGAGTCACAAGATCTGATCATTCAACTCCTAAATTCCATCCAGCTACTGCACACCAGGCCTAGGTTAGGAATTTGAACAGCATCACCCCACAATGGCCAGGTGGTTCAGACTTGACCTTAAAACAGAAAGACCACAGAACATTCTGGGATTCAACTCTGGGTTTGTTGTTTGTTTGTTTGTTTGTTTGTTTTAATTAGTACTGGAATTGAACCCAGGGACTTTGTACTAGAGCTCCACTGTATACCACTCATTTCCAGCCTCCCTGGCAACTTTTGCTCTTAGCTGATTTGAAGTAAGACCCTTATAAAAATATATGCACAGTGACTGGGGGTGTAGTTCAGTGGTAGAGCACCGGTCTAGGATGTGTGAGGCCCTGCATCTAGACACACACAAGGGTGGGCAGAATTTAAATGGTCTGATGGGGACAGGAGATGCAGCTCAGTAGCACTGACGAGCCTCTGACTTCAACTCCTAGCACCACATAAAATAAACAGAGTGTTGCTCCACAAGGAAGAGGGAGCAGGGCTAGAAGGTACCATAAATATCTACTGAGACCTTCTAATTGGTAGGACCAATGAGCAAGACGTCAAGAGACGTTTAAAGGAACTATGACCTATCAAGATATACTTTCCTTCCCTCCTAGATGAAATGGGAAGGAGCATTTTCTTCTTGGATTCTTTACCCATTAACTCCTGTCACACCTCCTGCCCGCTGCTGGGCAATCCATTCCAGCTCCTGCCCCACCTCTTCATCATCTTTGGTTCCTTCTGGACAAGCCTCCCAGGCAGACAGGACACTGTCCCCTTTACCCTGGACTCTGTCCTTCAAGACTGGCTCTGGGCCAGGCTCCCTCCCTGGACTCCTCAACAGTCCTCAATCTGTTTTCCCAGCTGGACTGCAGTTTCTCAGGGTCAAGGTGTGTCCTATATGCCCACATGACAAGTACATGTGACAAAGGAATGCCTGGTTGTTACACAGGGATCCCAGTGGGTGTGTGTGGCAGGGATGATGTGACTCAAGTGCCTGCCAGGACCAGCTCTGCTGGGCACCTCCCTGAATGACCCAGGCGTTCAGGACATTCTAGAAATCACTGCTCTTCTAAGTGCCTGCTGCCTTGCCTGTTGCCTTCTAGGCCCCAAAGCCCTGACCTTTCTAATCAATCCCTTCTCCCATATCTAAGTTGTGCAGACTTCTTTCATCACCCTATCATCCCTTCACAGGACAACATCCTCCAAAGGGGTTGCTATCTCCCCTCCTGCTGATCTCCAGACAGCAGCCACCAAGCCCTTTCATAGTGAGGCCAGGATGTCATGCCTCTGTTCAAAGTCCCTCAGTGGTACCCCATTGCTCTCAGAACTTAGCCTACATTTCCTAAAGTTGCCACGACAACTTCCTAGTTCCTCCAGAGACTGAACTGGTGGTGGTCTGTAGGTCAGATGTAAGCAAATGTTATTTAACCTTGTAGAGTACTTAGCATTTGAATTAGAGGCCTCAGTGCAAAATATGAGATGTTTCATTCAATAATCTGATTTCCCACTACTCTGAAAAATAGGAAGCTTTGTCAACATTGGCCTGAACTTGAGTAGCGACATTTGAGGAGCAGCTCCAGAGCACCCTAGGCCCTACCATTCTCATTGCTTTTATACAAAGGGCCACTTTACTCTCTGGCATCAGGTCCCCATAGACATTTGCCTGCAACCTCTGCCCAACTCTCCAGCTGCTTTTCTTGTCTCCACTTCCAGCTTCAATCACAATGAGCTAGTTTCATGTTCTTGAATGTTATTTTTTCATGTCTTCAAGCATATTAGTCCCTCTGTCTGCAATACCCCTCCACACTTTGCTCCTCACTTGACTAACTCCTAACAATTATCAAGTCCAATACTAGAGAGGCCCTTCTTGCAGGAAACCTGCCTTGACATGTACTCTCTCTTCACGTTCTTACTACTGTTGATTATTTACTACTCCCACAGTTGTCTCTTCACTTGTGTGACTGCTTCATTAGTCTGGGACCTCCAAAAGGGCAGGAACTGGGCCTGCTCATTAGCTGCAGGGCCTCTAACCCTGGATGGAGCATAGAGGCCAAGATGATGCATTCGGCCTGGGCACCCACTTTGCTCTTTGTAAAGCAAAGTTCTGGCGTCTTAAGAACATCTATCTTCCTAGGATAGAACTAAGGACCAGAAGTTCAGATGTGCTTTGTGAACCTGGCAGAGTTGTGTTTTGTTCTTTAAATTTGAATCAGTGCCAACATTTTTAAAATGAAAATATAAAATTCTTTACTTCTAACTTGCATTAAAAAAATAACTTAGCAAGAGCGTGGATCATGCATGGCAGTGCTCAGGCAGGGCTCCCTCTTAAACTGGGCTGCACTTACTTTCTTGTTCCCCAAAGTACCACCCAGCCCTTCATTGACTGACATTGCCTACCTAACTTCCCAAGGAAGCCAGTTCCAAATTCTTGCCCTCGGCCGACCTTTGGGGCATACTAAGAGGGAGTTTGGCTCTGACCATCCTAAGAAGACAAGGATTTCCTGGGTGAAGAGGGAATTTGGCTCTGACCTCCTTCAGGCCAGTGGGGGAAAAATAATGCCTTTACCAGGGAGATTTTTATTTTGGGACAGTCCACAGCAGTTACCATTTATCAAAAGTATGCCTTGCCACCAGGATCATGCATGAATAGCAGATATGAGCATAAGAGGTCACCCCGTCCTCCTTTAAAACTGAAGCGCAGAGCAGTTATATTTTTGGCAGCTTCCCTCTGGGAGAACACAGGCTCAGAGATCCATTTCCAGAGAATTGCTCCTAGGTCCTTTCACCCGTGTCATCTCCTTGCGTCCCTACTCAGTACTGGCCTTGGTTGGGGGTGGTGCTGTCAGGAAGCAGGTTTTCCTCTCTTCCGCGGCAGCTTCCCATATAGTGAGGAATAGCTCTCTGCCAGGGAAGATGCTCTATGTCTCATTCAGCCATCCAGCAATTCACTCAAATCACTTGAGCATTCACTGTGTGCCAAGCAACCTGGATTTGCTTCAGTCCTGCTGGTCTCCACCTGCTGCACCTCCCTCCTCAGTGCAGTGTTCCTTCAAGGCTCCTTCAGAGGCTACTTTGATTGTTTTTTTTCAGGCCTGCCAACTAGTTGGAAATATTCAGTCTTGACCTGTACTGCATCTATATTGTATTATCACATTATACAATTAATATCTGGCTATTTCCTCACACTGAACTCCACTTCACAAGGGTAAGGGCTATGTCCAGATCAACAAACCATTCCTGCTCACCAAGACAGTGCCCAGCCTATGTATGCTGGCAAAAATTGTTATTTAATTAAATAAATCAGTGGTTTCAAGAAACAAACTTGAAATTTGTGTAGGCATTTTTGGTTGTTACAAGACTAGGGGAACTCAACTTGCATTTAAGAGACAGGGGACAGGAATAGAGACTTTTTATCAAAGACAGAACTAGTCACTACAACAAACAGTCTTCTGTTTTACACAATTTTTCAAATGTCTCCTGTCAAACCTTTGTGTAGACAAAACAAAATGCATATAAGCTGTTTTATCGATAAGCTTATAAACTATACTAATTACTATGCAAAAATGGATATACCAGGCTAATGGAGGGCAGTTATACCTTGCTATCACCATTTTGGAAAGTCACTGTGGACCCTGTTCACCAGAAGAGCACACCCGTGTCTGCTTTGATTCGTAGGTGTCACAGTGAATCCACGATCTGAGACAAATGTATCCTAGCCTTTGACTCAAGGTGTCAATACAAACTGTTAGCAAATTAAATCTAATTTAGGTATATTCTTTTATTATAGATTACTGTCACTTCCCTCTTTTACTGCAAGGCATCCTAATTTTTTTTAACTACCCGGGGGAATCTTGGCCTGGAGTCTCAGGACGCATCCACTCCTCCTTTGGCCCTAATAGCCTGTTTTGGGAAACTGAAGCACCAGACACAAACTCCATGCACTAAGGCACTGAGCCAAGCTGGACAGTCACTAAGGCCTGTCCTCCGTGACCGGCCTTTGTGGGCCCATCTGCGATAGGTCTAGATGATCTCTGTCATCCACTTCCATAGCACCCTGAACCCTGGCCGGAAGCCACATCACCCACTTGATAATCGGCTGCGGCACCTGCGCAGAGACTACGCTAGGCTGAGCAAAGGAGTTTATTTATTTATTTTTTTAATTTTGAAAATAAAAGGAGGAAAACATTAACAGGCAGACAACCATTTACAAAATAACAAAAGAACAGTACAGACAATACGGAGTTACAAACAAAGTGGTAGGAAATTAACAATGCTTGTTGTATTACATATTGATATCTTCAAAGTGGTTTCTCATGAAAAC